CCCCCTCCTCCTCCCCCTCCTCCTCCTCCTCCTCCTCCTCCTCCTCCTCCTCCTCCTCCTCCTCCTCCTCCTCCTCCTCCTCCTCCCCCCCCTACCTCCACCTGAGGCCGGGCCTCCTGCTCACTCTCCTTGCTGTCTGGGAAGTCTGCCTCCAGGGTCGCCAGCCCCGACGGGCCGCTCGGCTCGGGCACCACACGATCGGGGGGGCGGGCAGCGCACGGACCTCCCGGCGGGTTCTCGACTGGGGGTCAACTTTCGCTAAGGGAGGGGACCTGCTCAGGGAGGGCGGGGGGGAGGAGGAAGGAGGAGGAGGAGCAGCAGCAGGAGGAGGAGGAGGAGGGGGAAGGGAAGGAGGAGGGGGAGGAGGCGGAAGGGGACATCGAGCCGAGCTGGAAGCGGCGATGCATCGCCCAGAGATCGGCGGCAGGCCCCCGCCAGCACATCCAGTCGGTCCTGGGCAGGGTGGGCTATAGGCAATCGGGCCCCTGTCAGTGATGCATGGGCGACTGGGGGTCGATCCTTCCCCCCTGAGCTTATGCCCCCTTAACATTGCCCGAGGTCGGGCATGTCACCCTACAGGCGGATTTTGGACGACAAATAAAAAAGTCTAAACATGCACAAAAATTGACAAAGATTGTCAAACAATCCTCCCCAAACTATTTCTTAACTATTCTTAAAAGTTCCTCCTGTAGAGGGACATGCCCGATTTAATCCTGAGCCTATGCCCCCGCAACGTCGCCCCTGAACGAGATGCCCCCCGCCCCGCGGCCAGGAGCCTTCTGGCAGGCACTCGGCGCTTGCGCGAAGAGTGGACGGAAGCGGCGGCGAGCATCGAAGGCTCAAAGCGTCAATGACCACCGAATCAGCGGCGACCGATGGACGTCGTGAGAGCACTGTGTCTCGGAAGCTGGGCGAGGGCTGGCAAATCTGTGGCTGCTAAAACGGTCTTCCCGGGAGAAGCAAAGACCATACTCCCGGAATACAGCTCCCAGCGCACCAAATAGCAAACGGGCTGCTTCCCAGAAGGGAAAACGATTCCCCGGAGCTCCGTGTTAGCAGCCACGGGTCTGCCAGCCTTCGCCCGGCTTCCGAGTGGCCCCGCGGATGTCAGACGTGTGGCCGCCCCTCGCGCACCCGGCACACCCTGCACGAGGCGCTGACACTGACAGCTCCTCTCCGGGAGAGAGGTGGCTGGAGCCGGCGGACTCGTGGCGAACGGCAGAAGGACAGCACGCCTGCAGCAGAGGTCAAGGAGGTGGGCGCCGGGAGCCGCCACCAGACCCCACGCACCAACTGCACACGCGTGCAGCTGCTGGCTCGGACCCCTCCGACGCCATGATTTTTCATCACGTCGACCCCGACCGTCTTGAGCCATGCCCCTGGATCAGCTTTTCCCCCTGAGTCGATGTTAGACGGCCCCACGGCCCAGTAAGATCCCCCCACGGAGGCCGAAAATGGCGAAAACCTTCCCGTCGTGATTGTCTCATGACCCGAGGGAGCCTGAGGAGGGGGAGGATTGAGCAGGGACCGACCGTCCCGGCATTCCTATAGGCCTACCACGACGTGTTCTTAGAACGCCCAAATCTTCTAAGAACAATCACCAAATTCTGAACAGATAAACCCGATGTGTTGAAACAAGACTGCCTCGGACAGAACTTTACTGAGAACAGTTCGTGAAGCCCACAAGAGGTTCTCAGAACATTCTCTGGTGGGCCTGTAGGCTAGCCGGGACGCTTCGCCACTGCTCGAGAGAAAGAGAAGCACTAAGAGGAGGAGAAAGCACAAAACAAAAAAAGAGAAGGAGGGGGCAGGAGGGGGCAGGAGGGGGCAGCAGAAGCAGGCGACCGGCGGCCGCTTTCAGGCGCGCCCCTCCGCGCGCCAGGGGCTACCCTCCAGCGGGAAGCTCGCGACGTGGTCGCCTCGCCGCGTGGGCGCCGCGGAGCTTGCCGTCGCTCGGACGTCCATTCACCGTGTATTCTTCGATATCGTGCGTGTTTGTTTCGCTTGATGGTCTGGGATGCTCCTCGATGGTCCTCGCCGATGGAAACAGGCACATGTCCGAGCGATGCCAAGGGAGGCCAGAGTCCGGGAGGGGGGGGGGGCGGCGGCGGAGCTCGAGCGGGAGTGGGAACTTGACCGCCCCGATACGCAACACGCAACCCGTAGCATGTCGACACGGAGCTCAGCACGTGGATTGAAAACGACTGAAAACGAACGTTTGGCGCGATGCGCTCGCCAAGACGTGGGCCAACACGCGGAGCCAGCACGCAGCGTGTCAACACGAACGTCTTGCACGCGGCACGCGTTGCGTTTCCAACCGGGCGCATCAGGGCAGCTGAGCGGAGGGGTGGTCGAGGTCGCCAGGTCGACCGAGTCAGAGGGTCCGCCTGGTCCCACCCTCCCTCCGACAGCATCAGAGCCAAGTGTGGCACCACCCGATAATTACGGTGGTGGCAGTGGATAAAGGAAACCTTCGATGAGGAATCCAGGGTCTGGAAGCCAGTGGAAAGCCAATCGTGGATTGGCCATGGACATCACCGCCGCCCTCATCATATAAGAAACCCTCCAGGGTCTGAAGCCTCCTGGGCACGTTCCTTAACGAACGCCCCCACCAGATATTGAGATTGGCAGGCAGTCCTACCTGGCGAACGAGAGAGGCACTCGCGCGCGACCCCCGCTTCCGACGACCGGGCGATTTGGAAAACCACACGGGTCGCGCAGGTGAGCGTTCTTTTCTATTCGGCGTTTCGACATTGGGCAGAAGGGGGGGCGGGAAGGGGGGTCTGGCTCCGGACCTCTGCTTAGTGCGACTGTTTGCAACGGTGCATCCTGCGGGGGAGACTCCACCTGCTCGAAACAGGCGCCAACAACAGCCGAGATCTACTCCATGGGGGGGGAGGGGGAGGTGCGGGGCCCGCGCCGATCGGCAAAACAAGGAATGAGAAAACGACGATCAGGGGCGGGAATGACAAAACTTCCGATGAGCGCCCAGGGATGGTGTGCAGGTCGCAAGGCCTCGGGCTGCACACAGACAGCCTCCCCAGGTAGCGCCGGCTGGCCTCAACAGGCCAGTGGTCCTGGGCGGTCTCAACACCCAGGGATGGTGTGCAGGTCGCAAGGCCTCGGGCTGCGCACAAACAGCCTCCCCAGGTAGCGCCGGCTGGCCTCAACAGGCCAGCGGTCCTGGGCGGCCTCAACACCCTGGCGCCGCCTCCGGCGGCGCCCTTGGGGCGCTCCGCGCCCAAGAGTTGTGGTGTTGAGACCGCCCAGGGCTACTCGGGGGGCCTGTTGAGGCGAGCTCGGAATGCCTGCGGGGGCTATCTGTGCGCAACCCGAGGGCTGACAATGCGGAGGACGAGGATGACGAGGGTAGATTGAAAACGTCTGCAGCTCAAGTCGGAGCATCAAAGAAGACAGCTGAGCAAAGTTAGGCCAGCAGGTGAGCAATCAGGACGAGCTCCTGCAGGGCAAGGTCATTGCCCTCAGGATGCGAGCGAGGAGAACGAGAAGGAGGACGGGGAGGACGAGGACGAGGAGGACGATCGACCAATCGAGCCGTCGGGTTAACTTCGGGGCTGCCTCGCGTCGAATGGAGCGGCGTAGCAGTTGAACATCAGGTGCGGCCTTGATGTGGTCACTTCGTCGGGGGCACGCTCGTGCTACTCGGCGCTCGTTCCACCCACCCCCCTCAGCACTCCTCCTGCTCCTCCTCATCCTTCTTCTTATTCCTCTTCATTATACCTATTCCTCATCGCTCTCCTCCTGATCTTCCTTTCTCCTCCTCCTTCTCCTCCTCCTGTACGAGTCCATCTGGGGCACTGCGGTGCCATCCGCCCAGGCCCCGCGCAGGGCTGGGCGCTGCCCGACATTGGGTGCCTGCCTGTCTGTCTGCCTGCCTGCCTGGCTGGCTGGCTGGCTGTCTTGTCTGCCTGCCTGGCTGTCTGTCTGGCTGTCTGTCTGTCCATCTCTCTGCCTGTCCATCCTCGAGCCCCGAGCCTCGCGGGCGGCCCCGCGGGCAGTCTCGAGCCTCGAGGCCTCGACCCTCGAGGGCGGCGGCGGCGAGGGCGCTCGGGCTCGCCGCCCCCGACCAGCAGCGCCAGGCCGCCGCGCCCGAAGCCCAGGAGGCCCAGGCGCGCGCCTGGCGCCGCGCCCGGCGGGGCGACCTCTCCGGGCCGCCGCTCGCCGCTCGCCGCCCGCCCGCCGCCCCGCCGACGTGCTTCGAGCAGGAGGTCGGCTGCAGAGCTGATCTGCCCCAAGGTCGACATGTTCACTGACATCTTTGTTCAGAGGGCCCCCTGCATGAGAAACACCTCGAGAAGCGAAGCTTTTTGGCAAACGCACCCAAAGAAGGAATGAAACAAGGGAAAGGCTGTTTAGTAAACGCCCAGGGCCGTTGAATAGACGCCAATTCTCGGGTCCGGGTGGTTTCCTCCCTTGAATATTCGCCGAAACTGCGAAACGCTGAATTTTGGTAGACGTACAAGCATTACTTATATTTTCGTGGATTCTGCGACACAGAACGGGTTAAATCAGCTCTGCAGTCGATCTCCTGCTCGAGTGCTCGTGTCGTGGAACAAACACTCGCAACGGAAGGTTTGGGGACGCTTCTGGCCTGGACTCCCCCGTCGCTGGGCCCCGGGGCCGTCAAGGAGCGACTCTGGACGAAGAGCTGGTCCCAGGGAATGGGTCGAGACCTCTGGGGGTGGACCTTGCGCAGATGTCAGGACGCCGGGGGCCTGGGACCGCCGTCGCCGTCAGTCGTTGCTACCGTTTCACACCCGGCGGTGTCGCCTGCTCTCGCAGCTCGGGGCCATCACAGATCGGTCCAGCTCGCAAGATGCTGCAGAAAGACAGGGTCCAGATGTCCAGTCGTGATGTCT